TATGGGATTTAACTATAATGATCCAAAGGTGAAAGTAGCTTTGTATGAATGTGTGAGTAGAGTTGCAAAGGATGATGAAGAGAAGTTTAGGATTATGGAACAGTTGCATGTATTTCATCATGCTCAAGGCATGTTTGACAAAAATGGTGCAATGACCTTAAAGGATAGGCATCATCCTGCTGATTGGTGGACTTCATTTGGAGATGAAGTGCCAGAGCTTCAAAAATTTGCCATCCGAGTGTTGAGTTTGACTTGTAGTGCTTCTGGGTGTGAGCGCAATTGGAGTGCATTTGAGAGGGTAAGTAACAAATTGCCTCTACTTTATTTAAATGATATCAATTATCATGTTTGTTGGTTATAAGTTTACAAGTTTGGTTTGTTTGTCATTCATTATTTTTACATGTTAACTTTTTTTTTTAGATTCATACTAAGAAAAAGAACAGCCTTCAAACACAAAAGATGAATGATCTTGTGTATGTCATGTGCAACAACAAGTTGGTGGGAAGTAATGTCAAGAAAGCAAGAAGGCTTGAAATTGATTTTGAGGATATAGACTCCGAGAATGAATGGATTTGTGGTAGTGACACTGAAGAAGAAACATCACAAGCTGAAGCTTTAGGAGTTGATGGTGGTGAGGAAGGTCATCATGCTGTTGAAATTGGTCCTACTATTTCTATTGGTGAGGATGGAGGTGATGATGCTATTCATGTTGATGGTGATGGTGGCGATGCTATTCGTGTTGATGGTGACCGTGGATTTGATAATCCACTTGATGATGGCGATGATGATAATGATGAATTGGATGCCAATGTTGAAGGCGATGATTTAATGTAGTTTTCTTTCTATCATTTCGAACTTTTGTGTGCTTTCATTTCAATTTCAAGAATTTGGATTATTAAACTTGTGTCATTATGTAAACTTAAACCAGCTTGTTGGATTTTTAAGATGATACCTGTGTGACTATGTCGTTTATGAGTTGCTTATGATGTATGTTTATCAACTTATGCTTAAGATGATATCAATCATGATTTATTGCAGGTAGTTATTCACTTCTATATAATTTATAAACTAATATTTTATACAACACATGTCGTAATTAGCAAATTTTTAGCTATTTTACAAGATGCCTAAAAAACTTATGCTTTTACGCTTCGATTCTACACTTTACGATTTTACCCCTTTTCCGCTTCTAGGTAAAATCGCGCTTTGGACTGCATTGGGTAGAACGATACACAGTAATCTTGTTTTGAGGCGTAATGTTGTGCTGACTAGGCACCGCAGGGGCCACAACATGCTCGAGACGCATCTCTGCTGCTTATGGCCAAGGCGAGGGGTTTTCGTTTTGCCTAACGTATAGGCAAGTTTAGGCTAGTGCCTAGGCACGCTTTTAAGAATAATGATATTATCATGTGATATGACATTGATATGATGTTGTTATTAGGTCTTTTGTTTGACAAAATATAACACATTGAATACTATTAAGTAGATCTTGATTATTGATGGTGATACGTAGGCGGGATTTTAGGTGGATATTAGCTAGCTGATATAGTTGGTCACGTAGGCGGGATTTTAGGTGGATGCCAGTCGATGAGAGAAATTGTATTTTAATGCTCACTAACTTTCTTCTCTCTCACAACTTGAGTACTAGTTTATCACAACTTGAATATTCGTTCATCACAACTTGAATACTACTTGAACACTAATAGCTGATGTAGTGGGCCACGTAGGGAGAATTTTAGGTGGAAGCTAGCTGGCGAGAAATTGGCATCTAATACCACCAACTTTCTTCTATCTCACAACTTGAATAGTAGTTCATGACAAAATGGATATTAGTTCATAAATCTTAAATACTACTTGAGTACTACTTCAGAGCTAACATTCATGCTAAGTGTTCATAACTACTAGAATAACTACTTGAATACTACTTCAGAACAACAATGATACTAGTTCGTCAGAACTTGAATGCTACTTCACAACAACACAAATACTAGTTTATCACAACTTGATACTACTGTAGAACAAAATGAATACTAGTTCATCAGAACTTGAGTACTAATTTATGATAACATGGATACTAGTTCATCACAACTAGACATCATTCACTGGTCTAGATATTGAACCAAAGGAGGTCCAGGCACCTCGTCTGTGCTCAATATGTTCAAACTTCAAAATTGTGTTTTTTATTTTGGAAATCTTTTTTTCCATGAATCAGTTACCTTTTACTATTAACTAAAATGAATTGCAATTTGCAATTAGAGAACCAACACAATGAAAGGCCTACCATTTTGGTCACCCTGAAGAAGAAAGAACATGGAAAAATAAAAAACTCCTACCCTTCTCTACGCCACCATTTTATAACCCTGCTACATGATTCTCAACAACCGCATATCCTGCTTCATCAACTCCTGCAGAGTCTAAACATCACGATCTGGCTCATTATGGTCTCGCCTGCATCTTTCCTTCCAAATATAAGTGACTAACATGCACCATTTAGTACCAAGCGAAGCACCCTACACAGTCCTGCAAGCTCGACACACTGAATTAAGTGAATCCTCCCAGGAAGCTCGACACACCAAGTACTGCATCATGTGGAACCTGACATTCCCCAATCATCCATTCCAAACTTGCGCAAGGGAACTTTATCTTCACACCACCACGCATGTCTCTCTGTGGCCACCATCCACCACCATTACACAGCAAGGCAACATTCTGAAGTTCAATATCATGTATGCCCAAGCAAGGTCCAGTTATGAAGCGACGTCAATGTGTTTATTTCAAAATCCCCTGTCAATCCTAGCTATTCATTGGTTTCTAATGTCGGCGTTGGAGAAATTAATGGTGTTGCTTGCTATTGAGGATTGGGGTATCATCGTTGGAAACAACATGTATAGATGAACCATCAACTATTACATTATATTGTCCTGCTCCGTTGGTTATCTTTTCGTTAAGCAGATGGAAAATTTGGCCACTCCAGCTCCCTGCTTTAAGAAGCTATATAGCGAATTACACAGTGAAGAAAAAAATAGGCCTAACAAAGTTAAACGCATAATCTGAAATAGAACTAGCTTTGGACCTGATCCGTTGGTCGGATTAATTTAGTTATTGATTCGTGAAGTGGAAGCAGGAGCGAGAGTAGGAGAATGTATATTTCCATTGAATTGATGATGATTAATGGTAATGTATCTTTAATGTTTTATTATTTTAATTAAAAAGTATTACATATACTATTAATTGTTAGACAAAATAATACAACACCTCTTAAATTTTTTTAATTCAATATATACATCCAATGCAATAATATGGCTAGTTCTAACTTCCAAATCACATATAAAGATTTCAAACATCTCAAATATTATGAATAAATTACATACTATAAGTTATAAGAAAAACTCAACCAATCCACTAAATTCTTTTAGTTCATGCTTCAACAATTTTATTTATCTTATGAATCAAAATTCATAATCAAATTAATCTGCACTCATTTATTTGTCATTTTTCAACAAGTTTATTAACACATAAAAATGGTGTAATGAACCATTATATCAAACTCAATTTCGGCTCATGATTGTTGGATTTGCTCAGGAAGAAGTTTAACACTTAGTGGTTAACAGAGGTAAAATGTTGATATTACCAGTAACTTATTGTTTGCACAAAGATATCGAGTAATAATAGTTATGAAATTATTACCAATTTAAGATTTCTTTTACGATTTTACATATTCAATGCTGCAATTGATAGAGGCGACCATGTATATAAATGAGATCTTTGATCATCTGGCCTTCTAAGATACAAGTTTCCCTCATGCACATTATACATAGCAGGATGTTAAACTACAACATCAAAGCACAATAGCAATCCCATTTTAGTCCAAGCTTGTAAACAACAAACTCACGTCAAAATACTATACATTCCAATTTTTCCTTCTTTTCTTCCATAAAGCAATTGCTTTGATGGGAAGGTAAACAAACTGTACCAGAAAAGTGAAGTGAAAATGTCTTACAGCAGTGTCGCAGTCCGGTGCAAGAAACATTCTATGGTCATTCAAGTGTATGGAAATGGGATTGGTCAAGCAAATTGGAATGCAATTCATTTTTTAACACATGTATCGTTCAACAACTTAATTTGATAACATCTGAACTGTAAGCTTATCATTACTTGCCTGACAGAGTTAATCACATTAGCGTATCTAACAACCAAGTTCAACAACATACATCTAGCCGACGTAATAGCAAAGCACCTAACCCTCTTCCTCTCAACATTCCCCAACTTCCCAAAATTCAAAACCACCACCAACGCCAGCATCACAGCAACACCGACCCAAGCGAATGCCTTGCGAAATTGAGACTATAACTTGGATACTTCCCGCCTACTCCTTCAAAACTCCACACTCTGAATAAGAACCAAGCCTGTAGCTGTGAAATCAATGTGAACCAAGGTTGTCAACCCACGGGTCGACCCACTTTGACCCTGACCCAGTGAGAAAAACGGGCCATATGCACCCGCCGGGCCGGCCGCTACAAGGTATCGGGTTGGAGGTCAAATTGTGTCATTTTTTTCTTTGGTTTGTGAAATGCGCCTATTTTCCGATTTTTCTTTTTGCCTAACTCAATCTTTGGAATCCTAAATTGGACATTTGAATATTTATGTTATCTAAGTGTGTGTGAATTTTCACTATATGTTGGATCTAAGTACGATATGTTATTTTGGTGTAATATTATATGTTATAAGTCATATGCTAGATAAGATTTGATATAATATATGAGGGTTAATTGCATGATTGGTCACTGAGATTACAAAAAAAGTTCAACTTTGGTCACTCGAAATATTTAAATCCATTGGTGGTACTTCAGTTTATTGAAACCGTTCACGTTTGGTCACTCTCCGTCCAACTCCGTTAACTTTTGCTGATGTGGCAGTCAACTCTCAAAGTTGACCGTTAACTTAGTGACGTGGCAACTAAAAAATTATTAAAAATAAAAAATTAAATTTTTATATTTTCCACCCCATTATTACATTCATTAAAAAAAAAAAAATAAAGAGGGATATGAGAGGGAGGGTGAACCTGTTGCTTCATAAAGTGATCGATAGTTTCATACTAAGACTTCAAGAGCTTGAGGGAACGAACATCATCATCGCCATCGTCATAGCACGCCCACCATCCATCCATCCATCTTTACATCTCCATATATCCTATGGAGAAGAGCTCGATGAGCAGCGGCAGCAGCAGAGCAACATGGGTTTGGCCTCAGCGACCATCAGCAGCTCCGATCTCATCGACGCCAAGCTCGGCGCCAGATCCACGCACTGCCCCGGCTGCGGCCACAAGCTCGTCAAGCCGGTACATAGCTCGTCATTTTCTATTTCAATTTCCGGACAAGGGGGTAACAGTGTGAATTTTACAGGGTGAGATCCAAGGTTCGATTGAAACAAAACTAAGCCAACTCCGATCTACGAAGGAGTTCACTTCAATTGAACGGGATAAAAATATCCCCGATGTTCTTGTGCCATGGATCCGCCAAATTCTCCAGCGGGCTGGTCCCCGGGTACGCTGACTGCTGCACGCAGAACCTGACGAACGCCAACAACGCCAGCCGGCCGTTCTTGATCTCCTTGAGCTTGTACTCCTCGAGCTTTTTTGGGTCTTTTAAGAACCCGAGCGGGTCGAACGCCCCGCCGGGGTACTTCCTCTTCTCCGGGTCCTTCTCCATGCTCCGCCTGTGCTCCACGAGCGCAATGGACAATAACTCGATCACAAGTATCGTCGGCAGCATCCCCCACGGCACCGGCTGCCCCAAGTAGTTCGCCTGACCGCACGGCACAGCCGCCCACGATTGCGCCTGCACCCAGTTCCCGAGCCCCAAAGCCTCGGGGAACAGGATCCCGGGGACGGCGAGCATCGCCCATCTGCACTGGATCAGCTCCGACTCTTTGAACCACTCCAGGTTCTCCGGGACGGTGCCCAGTTCGAGCGGGTCGAACCCGAAGTCACTGTATTGTATCGTATATATCAGGGATCAATTCAATCAAAGTTCAGAGCTTTGGTCTGATTAATTCATTCTTATGGAGGTAACTAGTACTCAAATCGAGCATAGTAAATTGGTAAATTGTTTCGTACCCGTAATCAAAGCCATCGAGGTGGGCGGGTCGGGGCTGGCCGGGCATCCATTCGGCGGACATGACGACCCGGCCGGAGGAGGCAACGACGGGGCTGGCCGGGCATCCTTACTTGTGGTCGAGGTTTGCTGTCACTCATTGACCCATCTTTAATAGAAATTAGGTTTTTTATTTTTTAATGAATTTAATAATGAGGTGGAAAATATAAAGTTTTTTATTTTTTTAATTATTTTTTAGTTGCCACGTCACTAAGTTAACGGTCAACTTTGAGAGTTGACTGCCACATCAGCAAAAGTTAACGGAGTTGGACGGAGAGTGACCAAACGTGAACGGTTTCAATAAACTGAAGTACCACCAATGAATTTAAATATTTCGAGTGACCAAACTTGAATGTTTTTTGTAATCTCAGTGACCAATCATGCAATTAACCCTAATTTATGGGAATTGTTATTCGTCGCCCTAAAAATCCTTATTTGTCGCCCTAATTAAATTAATTTTACTATAATGCCCTTAATTTAATTTAAAACTTACCTCAAAACAAATTATAACCGGAAATAAATTAAAAAACAATAATAATTGAAGTGCCCAGCGGAACATTCGGCCGGCAGATTCCTTTTCAGCTGGGACACGGAAGCAATATATCACAATTATAAATAAAGGTTGCTTTTGCTTGTTTTGTGGTTTTCTTCGAACATGTAACAACTTTTCATGGTATGGGGAATTATTGGGACATAACTCCAGCCGCCAAAGATATTGGAGAAGAAGAGAGTTTTTGGCATATAAAACTCTTCTTTCGTGGACTGAGGTTTTGGATTAATTTCCAGGCAATCAGCAGGAGTTAAGGTTAGTAAACGGGTTACTTCATTCGTAATTTTTCTCTATTTCTTGAATTTTAAGATGTTGAACTTAGAATTATTTGTTAGTTTGTTTTCCATAATTATGAACTAAATCTTAATTTATGGGGGAAGACTGTAGGATGTGGCTATCGAATTTCTATGATTTAAACAAATTGAATAAGGTAATTAGGTAGTGAATTTCAGACCTTTTACGAGAGCTTCTCTCTGTTCATTTTTCTCCAAGTTAACTTCCTACTTGTTTTCTAGTTTAGTTATTACATTGTCTTTAGTTTACTACAAAAACACTTTTGTTCTTTCAATTCCTTGATATAATCATTAAATATGAAGTTGTATCAATCCTTGTGGGACGATAGTATTACTTACTTTTATTACTCAGTTGATAATCTGCATATAGATTTTATAGCGTCACATCCGGACATAATTTATATAATTTTTGGATTAAATTATCTCTAATTTGTACTAAGATTATTTTTAGGGAGACAACTTTGTTGAAGTTTGCTACACAATTGACAACACCGTTGCTATAATAAGGAGTTTGGTATGAGTAATACGGTAAGTACTTATTTAAATAAAGTTTATAATAAATAAATAAATAAATTGTATTGACTAATGGTGGATTGGTTTGAAAAATTTTGTATGTTTTTTGTAGGGGGGTTCTCGAGATGACGAAGGTGACAAAGTTGATTACACCAAATTCTTCATGAGTGCTGGTTTTTATGATACTAAGGACAAAGCTCGGGAAGCAACAAAGGAGATAGCAAAATCTCTCCGCTTTTTCTTGATAGTGTCTACAACCAAACGAAATCGGGGAGAAACAAATCCGCGGATATATATGGATTGCAACCATGGTTGCAGGAGCATAACATATATCCCAGATCCTGATAAGCCAAGGCGGAATAATACGAAGACGAGCAAGTTGGGTTACAGATTCAGAATGGTAGTACGGGCAATATTGGTGGATGGTTCTTTGAAATGGAGAATTGATGGTGTGAGGGGGTTTCATAATCATAAACTTGAGCTTTATTCTTAAGGGAGCAGCCAAAGAAATACTCTCACAAAGGAGAAGAAGGAAGACATCAAGAAAATGGAGGCAACGATGACTCAGCCGAAACAAATGAAGAAGTCTCTGAATGATACATATGATGCTCACCACCACATGAAACAAATTTACAATGAAACCGTCAAGATTCGGCAACAGAGATTGGGTGGCATGAAACCCATGCAGTGGACATTGAGGGAAGCTCAAAAGCTCGGGTATTTCGTTGAGTGTGAATTTGATATTGATCGTCATGTTACTAATCTCTTCCTTTGCCACCCGGAGTCTCTTCAGATGTTGAGTGCTTGGTATTTCGTTGTTCTGATAGACTCGACATACAAAACCAACAAGCATAAGAGCCATTGGTTCAGTTGGTTGGTGTTACTCCAATGCAGAAGAACTTTAACATTGGGTTTGCATTTGTGGCAGATGAAAAAAAGGAGACATACACTTGGGTTTTGTTGCAGCTAAAGAGTGTGCTTGGTGGTAGGATCCCAAATGCTATTGTCACAGATAAGGAGGGAGGATTGGGTGTTGCAGTGCGCGAGGTCTTTCCAGAATCTACTCACTTATTATGTGTATGGCATATGAAGAAGAACATTGAAGCCAAACTCATGAGCTTTCGAATGAGTAGAGAAGTCGCAGAGGGTTTTGTTGGAGGTCCTTGGGGAACATTGTTGTATGCCAATACCCAAGAAGGATTTGATAGTGCTTGGGTGGACTTACAAAATAGTCGTTGGGGGACAATGGACGATTGATGAACTACTTGAGAGGCGAGTGGCTATCTTGTTCGAGTAAATGGGCTAATTGCTACACCAACCGTGTGTTTCATATTGGCAACACGAGCGCAAATAGTGTGGAATCAGCTCACTCCTCTTTGAAGTCATGGCTTAACACTTCTAGGCACAAGATTGATTCACTCTTCATGAGATTCCATGCTTGTGTGGAAGGTAGAGTGATTGAATTGCGAAAGGACCTAGAGGAATCACGATTGAAGGTAAATTCATTTTGATTGAATTGTGATAATAATTTTCATATGCTTTCTCTTATTTAGGTTATGTATTCATTTAAATAGGTATTTACATGGGCATATGGACCACCATTTGTGCACTTGAACAACAAGGTTAGTTCATGGGCGATTGAGCTATTGAGGGGAGAAGGAAGTAGGAAGAATGTTGAGAGATGCGGGTGCGTGCTACCAGAGACATATGGACTTCCATGTCTATGCACAATGCAGAGATTCAGTGAGAAAGGTTTAGAGTTGTATCCACACCACTTACATCATTTCTGGTCTTCTTTAAATTACCATGATCCACCTGATCGTGCACAGTGGGAGGACCATGATGCTATTGAGAGCGATATTTTCGACAAAATGGTGGAGGAGGTACGTTGTAGAGGACCAAATTATATTCGAGTAGCTATTCCATCACTTTGAGCTCATGTTCTCCCTGAGTACATGGGTCTTCTTGAGCCTAGGGACGCAGAGATTCCGAGGGGTCGACCACCTAGGAGGGAGAACGCCCGAAAACGTTCTTGGTTTGAGCACGAGAGATCACGAGAGGCACGCAGAAGTAATACCAGCAGGACAAGCCCTCCGACGAGGGATCTCACTCCCCCGATGAGGGATCCTACTCCCCCGGTGTCAGATCCCACTCCCCCTATGAGGTCAACACATACAGGTTAGTCATAAATATGATTTTGATTGTACTAATTTTTTTTTTATATCTTAGTTTTTTTATAAGAGTTTCCATATTGTTTCACTTACTTGATTTCATTAGGTCGTGCACGAAAGAGTCAATTGTGGGAATTCCATAGTGAGAGGAATATGTGTCCATACCTCCCGTACATCCCATCTAGCATACACCATCTTGTTAGAGCTTGGTTTAACCCCGATGGGGATGGTCATTGTGGGTTTCGAGCAATCTCACATATTATTCATGGGGACGAGGGTTACTACTTATAGATGAGGCAAGCTGTTATTGGAGAGATTACTAGTCGATGGGATTCTATATATAGTAGACATTACGATGGGACACTAGAGCAAGTAATTCATAGGTTGGATCATAGGAATTCGGGATGGTGTGGCAACGAGTACTGGTTTGAGGAGGTGGATCTACTAGCATTCGCGACAATGCACAATTGTGCATTTTCAGTCTTGGGAGGGCAAATGATGGGACATATGGGTATAGTGCATTACCCGTGACAGCGCCACCAGGGATAACGTCTCCAGTTCATGTTTATGCCCTCGTTCATACTGGAGTACATTGGGTCTGACTTCAGCTTGCAGACGTCGGAGGTGTTACACCGATGCCTCCATTTAGTTTTCAGTGGTCTCATCTTCGCGATATGGCAACTGTTGGTTCTTGGTCATTGTTGTACCAAGAGGAAAGAAGGTTGTTTTTCGCCCTTGGTGGACATCAGCAAAGTAGACAAGACAAGGGTGAGCCGGAGCATGTAGTACTTGAGTAGTTACATTATTTTAGCTTTTCGGTACCTATCTATGTAGTAAAGATTATTTAGCTACATTGGTCATCTTTTCGGTTCTTTAGCTACATTATTTCATCTTCTTGGTACTTATCTATGTAGGAGATATTTTTTATCACATATTAGCGGATTGAATTACTTAGTATAATCGCGATATTGACACGCTACGAAACAACACCTAACAATGCCCAAGTGTAACCAATGAAAGGGACGGCAGTATAGTGGCACAAGTAATAAATATCGAATCCACGGGTCTCTAGAGTACTATTACTCAGCTTCAGTTCATTATCTAGCAAACTAGATTAAGGATTGATTTATAAACTACTCTACTAATTACAAGTTGTGAACTCACTTAGGTATGATTCCCCCTAGCTCCTCAATTAGGTTCAAGTTGCAATTACCTTTGGTTGATCTACTGCTAATTAAACTGCGGAAGATCCGACAGTAGCTTGGAATCTCTTAAGCTGACCAAGCCCTCTCAATCCAACTACCCGGCAGGCGACTAACCTTCACCGGGATAGAAAACTGAGGCTATGAACACAGAACTCCACTACCGGAATTGGATTCCAATACAAAGCAGTAGATTGACTAACTCTCGTATAACCAATTCACCACCATCAATCAAGGAAGCTCTCTTAACCTAATCAGATTCTATCTATCATAGGTTAAAGCAGAAATCAAGAGAATTTGATCAAGATTCAATTGACTCAATAAAACATGCCTCAATCGATTATAATCAAACAATATAGCATCCAAAACTTCATACAA